GTCCAACTCTCTGATGCATAACAAGTGATAGCAAAGACCATGGCCTGTATCAGATGCACCTTAGTCTCCAGAGAGACACCATTGCTCTGAGGAGGCACTAAAATAGATTTTTCTATTTTTCTGTCTCATCATTATTTATGTTAGGCACTAACAAGTAGACTTAACTCATACAACCATTGGAACAATACATATGAACTTTGCTTAATCCTGCACCATCTTTGCTATCTTTATGTGCTTGAATCTCTTGTTACGATTACTATGTCATTCCATCCAGTTGAGGGTCTCTCTCTCTTTCTCTGACCCTCCAACATTCCCATTGCCATGATCTCTTTTTTCCAAGAACTGGCCCTTCGTTATAACATTCCCAAAATAGGTGAAATGAAATTTTACCATCCTTGCCTCTGTGGAGTACCCTGTTTTCACTTCTTCCAAGATAGATTAGTTTGTTCTTTTGGCAGTTCATTGGCTATTTTCTTCTCCAACACTATATTTCAAAGGCATCAGCCTTTCTTTTCTAATCCTCATTGTTGAACTTTCAGCTGCATAGGAAGTAATTGAAAATGTTATGGTTTGGGTCAGACCGAAGTTACTCTTTAAACTCACATCATTTCTCTTTAGACCTTTGGAGAGTTCTTGACAGCAGATTTTCCCAGTGCTACGTCTCCTGATTTGTTGTCCAGAGGGAAGTACATTAAACTTTGCACAAAGGAGTTGAATAGGCAGGCTAATAATTTTCTTATATTTTTCTCATAGAACATAGGTAAGTGGACAATTTGAATCTAGAAATGCTGGCTGAATGCCTAAAATGTTAGAATCTGCTTATGAACTTTCATAAAGCAGTGATTAGTGAAAAGAAGATTTCGATATGAACTGCATTTATTAGTAGTATTAACTTTTTAAGTATACATTGTAGATACTACAGGTATACCATGCAACTATGTCTTCAACTCCATTCTCCCTAAAAATATAAGCTTAGTGTGTGAAAGGAATTTAGAATATAATTTCTGATATAATAGGGGAGTCAATTGTGAATGTGCTTTTTCTGGAACAGAGTGATAGAAAAACTCTTAAAGATACTCTATATCCTATATTTTTTACAGTTTATAATTTTCTTTTTATTGGAATAATGAAGTAAAATTCATTTGTTTTCACTTTATTTCTTAATTTAGAGGGGGAAAAACAAGGACAGATATTTGATGCTACAATATTTAAACTAAAGATGTCTATTAGGATTTATACAGTTTGCATAAAATTCTATTTGATCTTTTTGTCTCATTCTATAAGGACATGGTGGAAATGGTTTCTTGAAATTTCAAGATTCTGAAGAAATTACTAACATAGAACTTGCAGATGCTTTTGAACAAATGTGGCAGAAAAGACGGTAATTATAAAATAATTTCTCTTCATAATAGAAATTTTTCTTAATGGTACAGCACTCTTCTGTCAGTATGCTTTACTGAGGTAATGTGGGGTTGCTGTTACACTGAACCTTGTGCCATTGGGGCGTCAAATGCCATAATGGTCACCCATGGTGGACAGTGTTTGGTGGAGTTCCCGGTTTAAGACAGGTTTGGAAGCAGGAGTGGCATCCATTTCTTAAACAACATGCCTCCGGAAACTCTATGAACTTTGATAAATGTTGATAGTTACAGAAAGGCTTCAGGCCTTGTGTTCACAGGGTAGCTATGAGTTATGCTGGACTTGAAGGCAATCAACAACAATAACAACAATAATATAAATTAGTCTATGGCTTTTTCATAGTTGGTAGGTTTGTGATTCTTAGTTTATAAGATTTTAAAATATTTTTATTATTTATTCTGTGGTTTGTTGTTGTTATGTGCCATCAAGTTGCTTGCAACTCATAGCGACCCTATGTACAACAGCCCTAAACTCCGCTCTGTCCTGTGCCAATCGCACTGTCTCTGACACTCCCATCCCAATTATCCTAGTCACTGAATCAATCCACCTCATAAAGGGCCTTCCTCTCCTGCGCTGTCCCTCCACCCTCTCAAGCATGATGTCCCTCTCTAAGGACCTGTCTCTCCTCACAACATGTCCAAAGTATGTTAGACGGAGCCTCAGAATCCTTGCCTCCAAGGAGCCACCCGGTTTAACCCTTTCCAGGACAAATCTTTTTGTTTTCTAGCATTTGAAAATTTATGTTCATTATTTACAATGGCCTGATAGCTTTCCCCTCCCTCATTAGGGAAAACTCGGGCTTATTACAGAACATGAAAATAAAGTCACTCTTTAGGATTGTATCCTTTTAAGAGGAAATAAAAATTCTTCTAGTATAGCAAGGTTTCCCATTATTTATTAGGATTAAGAGTTTTTATTTGTTTTTCCTATTTGTGCCTATTCTAAGGAGCCAGTGGTAAAATAATTAAGTGCTTGACCCTTTATCAAAAATTGCAGGTTTGAACCCACCGAACAGTCTGTGGGAGCAAGATGTGACTGTCTGTTTCCATGAATGTTTATAGCTTGGCAATTGCGTGGGGCAGCTCTATTCTGTCCTGGAGGCTTGCAGTGAGTCAGAATCAGCATATTGGCAATTAGTATTCTTTGGTGGTTTTACTTTATTTTATTCCCAATGTGTGGCATATGGATACAACAAGTCCTTCTTAATAACTTTTCAACTATAGATTTCTATTGAGTATTCTGACAAGTTTCCACATTTTTAAGTAATGAAATGACTAAGCTATAACTTAAAACGTCTTGTCTTAAGGAAGTATTAAAAGAGTTAATGTATGATTAAGATAATTATTCATGTCAAGGATGTTATCCCTTTTTTTTCCCCCAGCTACAACGAGCTACTGTTTATTATTGATACTTGTCAAGGAGCATCCATGTATGAGCGTTTTTATTCTCCCAACATCATGGCTTTAGCTAGTAGCCAAGTGGGAGAAGATTCACTCTCGGTATGTACAATTTTCTCATTTGTAAATTTTGCTGTCTTTAGAATGTGTTGCTATTTCTGAAGTAATTATATATAAATATGTGTTATGTCTTATTCTTGAACTTTTTAACACCTTACAAGGAATGTTAATTACATATTAAACATTGTGTTACAGCACCAGCCTGATCCTGCAATTGGAGTTCATCTTATGGATAGATACACATTTTATGTGTTAGAGTTTTTGGAAGAAATTAATCCAGCCAGCCAAACTAATATGAATGACCTTGTAAGTATTCTAATATGTAGATCTATGCTAGCATATAGAACATGATATTAATATGATGAATGAAATCTCTTACTCCTTGTACTCCTAGGGTACAGTTTCATGTGTTGAATGATGATCTTTTAAATTGTTTGGCTCTACCTTTACAGTAGTATTTCTTTTGCACAAGAAATATATACTCTAGCCCTATTGATTTACTTTCTTTTAGGTGCTTTCCTGTTTTAATTCATTTACTTATACTCTTTTCTCTACTAGATATGCATTTTTTGAGATTCACATATTGAAATTCTACATATTCAGAACTCCAATTATATTCTATTTCCTGCATGAACTTTTCCCTTTTACTTCCTAGTTGGATTATTTCTTTATGTTAATTCTGTCTGTTCAGCTATATGTTAAAGATGCTACCGAAAATTGGTATAATTAAAAACTTGAAATGACAAGCTTTGACCAGATAATTTTTAGAAATTATTTTGTGGGGTGAGTGTGATATTCTTTCTTTATACCTTGTTTATCTGTTCACAAATACTTCTTGAGCGTTAGCTAAGTGCTTTATATACCATAGTGCCTTCATGGAGCTCATGGATGACGGGGAGGCTGGGCAGGCAGGTCTGGGGGTAATTAGTACCACTTCTAAGCCGCTCTGCATTTCTCTTTTAAAATGTAGTAAATTTTGGCTAAGTTTTCACCCTGCCAAAATCTGAAAACTCATTCAATAAGCTACTAAATTTGATAGAACAGAACCTCTTAATCTATTTTGAGGGGAGTATATTTCCTGTGGCCTGTGAAAAGAGCAAACAGGTCTGCCTTAGAGGGAAGATTGCATTCTGGATGCTCCTTAGAGGCAAGGATGGGGAAACTTCATCTCACATACTTTGGGTATGTTATCATGAGGGGCCAATCCTTGGAGAAAGACATCATGCTGGGACAAATGAAGAGCCAGTGAAGAAGAGGGAAGACCCTCAGCGAGATAGATTGACACAGTGACTGTAGCAGTGGGCTTGAGCTTATCTGAGATCATGTGGATGGTGCAGGGTAGGGCAAGATTCAGATCTGTTGTTCATAGGCTAACTGGGAGTCTGAAGCAACTTAATGGCACCTGATAGCAACAACCACACACTTGATATGAATTTGAATATTAAAAGAAAAGTTGTGATAATGCTGTTTCAACTGTAACATTCTCTTAGTTTCAGGGAGCTCTGGTGGCCTAGAGGCAAGAAGCTTCACTGCAATCCTAAAGGTACAAAGTTCGAGGGCAACCAGCTGCTCTGCAAGAGAAGAATGGGCATTCTCCTCCTTTGCAATTAATTGCCTCTGAATATCCACTGGTGGGTCAACTATGGGTCAATTCCAACTCTAGGTACTCAGCAACAGTGTTAGTTTCCAGCGAGTCCTGGTGGTTTAGTGGTAAAGAGTTGCACTGCCAACCCAAAGGAATGAGGTTCAAATCTACCAGTTGTTCCGTGGAGAAACATTTTCCTCCTATGTGATTAACTGCCTTTGAAAACCTGCTAGAAAGTCAACTATGAGTAGGTTTCAACTCAAGGGTACATAACAACAACATATTAGTTTCCTGTGTTACTGTAACAAAGTATTTCAAGTTAGGCAGTTTCTAGGAGTAGACATTTTTTGTCCCAAAGCTCTGGAGGTTGGAAGTCCATATCAAAGTATTGGCTGTGTTGATTCTTTTCAAGGGTGAATCTCTTCCTGCCTCTTGTGGAGCCTCAGACATTCCTTGGTTTGTAGCTGCACATTATGTCCTCCTTCTGTCTCTTTGTTTCTGTTTTCGCCTCTTTTATACAAACATCAACCACATAGAAATAAGACTGAATCACACAGTATATCACTTCAGTATAACATCATATTAATTACTAGCATTTTCATGTGAGCTTTAGTGGCTTGTACTGCTAACCCCACGGCCTGCAGTTCAAATCCACAAGGCACCCTGCAGGACACTTTCCTTACTCATAACCCACTGGATGGGTTTGCCTGTGAGTCAGTTACAATTTGATAATAGATAACAACAACATATAACATCTTCAAAGACTATTTTCCAAACAGAGTCACATTAACAGGTGAAGGGGTTAGGACTTTAGTAGATCTTTTTGGGGGACACAGTTTATTCCCTATTGTCACCTAAATTGCAGTTACGTTTGCAGTTAGATTTGAAACTTTATTCTCTTTTATTTTGGATTTGACTAATGTTTTACATTTTTAATAGGCTTTTAAAAATTAATTCAATCTTATTTACAGTTTTAAGTTTATAGAGTCACTAAGCAGAAAGACAGTTCACATATACTTCCCCATGCTCCCCTAGTCTTCCCTATTAGTAACATTTTGAATTAGTGTGGTACTTTTGTTACACTTGTTGTATAGGTATTGATACATTATCATTAACCAAAGCCATAGTTTACATTAAGGTTTACTCTTCATGCTATGCTTTAATAATATTATGTATTTACCTTACAGTACCATACAGAATAGCTTTACTGCCCAGAACTGTACCTTTTTATTCTTTTCCTAATATGGTTGAACCTTTGGAAACCACTGTCTTTTTACAGTCTCTTTGGTTGGTTACCTGTTCTAGAATGTCAGATAATTGGAATCATATAGTTTGTTGCTTCTTTTATATGGATCTCATTCACATAGCAATATGCACTTATGATTTCTCCAGGTTTTTTTGTAGCTTGATACATCATTCCTTTTACCACTAAAAATGGCTCTCTTATATGGATTAACACAGTTTGTCTACCCACTCACTTACTGAATGACATATGGTGGCTTCTGATTTGGTAGAGCCCTGGTTGCCTAGAGTGTAACATTGGGCTGCTCTTGCCAAAAGATTACCTTTTTTAAATCCACCCAACACTCCTTGGAAAATGGACCATCTATTCCTGTACAAATATATGGTTTTGGAAACCCACCAGAGAATCACAGTGAGTTGGAATTCATCTGAAGGCAGTGCGTTTGGTTTTTTTGTTTTTTAATTTTTCAGCTTGAAACAATTAGGAATAAAGCAACTATAGACTTGTGTGATTCCAAGTTTTCAATTCATGAGGGTAAATACCTGGCTGCATAATTGCTGGATTGTATGGTAAGCCTATCTCTAACTGAGGAAGACATTTCCATATTGTTTCTAGAGTACCATTGACATTCCTACTAAGAAGGAATGAGAGCACCTGTTTCAATCTTTACCAGTATGTGATATCAGTATTTTAGATTTTAACCATTCAAGCAGGTGTTATTGGTATATGTAAGAGGTGAATGCTGGTGACGGTGCACAAAACCATGGTGTTTATTTGCTAACTGAAAGCTTTGAAGTTCGAGTCTACCTAAAGGGACTTTGGAAGATGAAGCTGACAATCTACTTCTGAAAAGTCATCCACGGAAAATTCTATGGAACACAGTTTTACTGTGGCATTCATGGAGTTGCCATTAGAATTGCCTACGGTCTTAAAAACTTGCAAGCAACCATTGTTATGTTGTTATGTGCTGTCAATCTGGAACCAACTCATAGCTGATCCTTCAGCAAGTTTTCAGAGACTATAAAAATTGCAAAGGAGGAAATTGTCCATATTTCTCTCTTGGAGGAGCTGGTGAATTCGAACCTTCTGCTTTATTTTTAGCAGCATGTGTTTTTTTAACCTACCTACTAAGCCATCAGAGCTCTGTACAATGTGTAATTGGTCTTGGAGCAAATAACAGCTATGCCTTTGAGTTTTTACTTGCACTTTTTTCCTCACAATCTCTACTCACCTCATCCTTTTCTTTGCTTCCTAATTTGTGATCCAGTCATTTTGGTTTTTTTTTGTGTTGCTTTTCTGAACAGAGAAGACAAGTTTCAGAGCTATTGTACATAGGGTTGCTGTGAGTTGCACGTGACCTGATGGTACACAACAGCAGGTCTATTACTTGTTGACATTGTGATGTTAGGCAAATTTCTTAAACTCTTTGCTCCTTAGTTTGAAGTATATAAGTTATTTTTAAATACTTCAGTTATTTGTAGACTTCAGTGAGTCATTTGGTAGAGGAGAACATTTATACCGTATATCAGAGGCATATCTGTTATTTAATTCACTTGTAATTTTTCGGTAATACTTAACAATGTTGTTGGTTTTGTTTTTTTGTTTGTTTGTTTTTTAATGTTGTTTTGAGGTGCTGCCAAGATGGATCTGACATTTTTGTGGCACTGTGTAGAATGGAAATCCCAGAACATTTAATTGGTTAGGCACATGTGAAAGCTATACCTAAACCAAGAGGCTATTGTGTAAACAGAGCAAGGGAACACTGAATGGTTTAACATTAAGAATGTTGAATATCAGGGTTATATACTTTCTCCATATCTATTCAGTCTGTATTGAGAGCAAATTATATTTGAGAACTTGGACTCTATGTGGAAGAATGTGACATCAGGATTAGAGGAAGACTCATCAATAATCTATGTATACAGATAACACTACCTTGCTTGCTCAAAGTGAAGAGGATGGAAAGCACTTGTTGCAAAAGATCAGTCTTCAATATAGTTTGCATCTCAACATCAAGAAACCCAAAATTCTCACCCCTGGACCAATAGACAACATCATGCTAGATGGAGAAAACATTATATCTGTCAACAACTGTATCTTACTTGAATCTACAATCAGCACCAGTGGACCAGCAGTCAGGCAATTAGCACATGTATTGCACTGAAAGTCTGTAGTCAGGGGCCTCGCCAAATTATTGAGGAGAAGTGATGTTAGTTTGAAAACCAAGATTTTCTTGTTCTAGACCATGGTCTTTTCAATCGCTTGTTATGCTGCTAATCACTGGGCAGTAAATATGGATGACAGAAGAGTTGAGGCCTTGGAACTGTGATCTTAGAGAACAGTACTGAAATCTACCAAAAGAAAATCAAAACAAAACAGATGTCTTAGTGAAAAGTGCAGCCAGAATCCTTGTAAGCAGATGATGAAGTTTATTGTTAGGAGAGAGACATCATGCTTGGAAAGGTAGAGGGACAGTAA